GTTGTATCGTATTAGTAATAATTGTGTTAAGATTAACTGTATTTGGACATACAAGCCAGTACATATGACTTTTATGAGCATTGTATGAAATGTAATTGATATCTGGAAAATATTGAGGATATAGTGTATATAGATTTAATAGTGTAGATAGTATATTAAACATAAGTTTAATTATGAAAGTTTTTTCTTGGCAGAGTTTAAAATTAGTATAGAAAGATGATTTTTTGTGTTTGTTGTTTAGATAAAGCCAAGTAGCATTCTAATCGATTTGTGTTGCTAGAGAAATAGTATTTTGTATTCAATGTTGAGAAGACTACATTGCTATAATGTGGCTGTTACAAATATTCTTAATAGATTTACAGGTTGGTTGTTCAAATGCGTAAGTTGTATATTGTAGATAATATGATGGATTGTAAATGTTATTATATAAAAATTCAAGATTAGTTGTATGGTTTCGATTTTTAGCTAAGATATCAGCTGTGTCATTGAATGTGTTATTACTATGTGCAGTAATTTTTTAAAGCTTAATTGTTAGGTTATAGAATTTAGTAAGATTTAATAATGTGTACCAGATTAGCCAGTAATTGTATGAATATTGTTTGTTTGGTCTAGATGGATGTTAAGTGAGTTTGTTGAACTTGGATATCACAGATTGTAAATCAGTGTAGATGGTGATACTGCTGTTTCTTGGGCATATACAGATTGCTGAAAGGATTGCAAATAGTTCAGCCTTGTAAAAGGAGGGCCAGAGTTAAATTGTAGCAGAATAGTTGTGTAATATTATATTATCAGCTGTTTGAACCTAGCCGATATCTATTGTGCATTGTTCTGTAGTAATATCATTAACTAATCCATCTGTATAAAATATTAGTTGTGTATATATTGTGTTGTTTATTGCTATTTGTTGTAAGGTTTGTGAGGATTGGTTGTTTTTAAAGATTTTTAATACTGCATTGTTGTAGATTGTGACTATTGGTAGTCTTAATATTGTGGTTAGATGTTGTAATGCAATTAAGTATATAGAGTCTAGTATGTTAGCATAAAGGTTGAGTTTATTAGAAGTGTTGTTATTTGTTTTTCTATATAGAAGTTTATTGGACAGGTTAGCAGAAATATTGAAATTGTATATATTTTGAATTCAGTTGAAGTTTAGTAAGCATTCTGTATAGGGATTACAGGTGTACGTAAGTGGTGAATAGAGGTTAGTATGTGAGTAGTCAAATTCACTTTGCCAATATGTAATGGATATTGAGTTGTCCTGATGGTTATATCTTCTAGCTTTCCTTAGAATTATGTTGTTATTATTGTTGTAAGAGATTAACCAAGGTTTAGGTTTGGTTTTGTAGTGTCCTGTATTAAAGGATAGAGTGTTTGTATTTAGTAGTTAAAATTGAGTATTAATTAATCTAGTTTGTTAATCTGTAATAATATTATTTTCTAGTACTGTAAACCATAATAGTTTATGACCTTTAGGTATATGTTGTAGCCGGGGTGAGATATATAACTAGTTGAGTAAAACTGTATTATTATATAATGTGAGTTGTTCAAGATATATAATATTTTTTATATGTGATTGTTTCTTAAAGGATTGATATAAATTGTGTGTATCCAAAACTTTTTCAATAGACATATAGAGATATTGAATTGTATGAATTTGTGTTAAATTAGAATATATATTAATATTAAGCTGGAGTTGATTTAGTAGTAGTATAACTTTATAGATAATATGTTCTTATTTGGTTCATCAATAAGAGGTTGTGAATATTAGAGAATATTTGTAGTTAACTATAGATTGTTTTGTAGTTGTTTTAATCTAATATATATACTAATACCTGTAAGATTTTGGTCATTAATTCTGAGTAAAAGATTGGAGATGTGATGTTGTAATTGGATATTCCAAATATTTTTGATTCTATATATATTATGATTAAGCATGATGCTATTAGGTGTTGAGATAGATAATTTAGCTTTGTGTTTGGCTGTAGTAAGGTATAAGGATAATATTGAATTGCAAGTGGTTCTTGGAATTACTATATTGTAAATACAGTATTTGATAGTTGGAATAATAATATTGTTAATAATATAAGTAGCTTGTTTGTCTGTTATGTTTTTGGTTTTAAGTATATCATTGAGTTCAGTTGCTTCTTGTTTGATAAGTTTAATTTGTTTGTTGTATTTTTAGAGTAGATGTAAACTAACAGCCTAAGAATTTAAATGGAGTGTGTAATGGTTGTATAGGAATAGTATGGTTCATAAAATTAATTTGTGGTATAAGGTTTGTATTTGAGATTAAGATAGATTTCTGTAGGTTTACTTTGATATGAGCCATTGTATAAAAGGATGCAGCTGTTTGAGTTATTTGTTGGAGTTGGTTTATGGATGAACTAAGCCATAGTGTGTCATCTATGTATACTAAGGTAGATGTTGATACAAATTTAGTCTTGTATCTTGTATGGTTAAGCTGTATAGACCACTGAACTGAGGAAGTATATTCTTTATATTTGTGATGTATATAGTTAATTAATGGATTATAGTAGATACGCCAGAGTAAAGGTGTTATAGTTTCTTCTTGATCAATACCATCTTTAACAGTATATAGTAATGTAAGTTCAAAGTTAGTAATAATTTGGTTATGTCAGTTATGCAAAAGGTTTTGTATAATGTTTGTTAGTTGTAAAGGCATTTTAAGCCTTTGAAAAGCTTTGATAAGGAGGTGTAGATTAATTGAGTCATATACTTTACTCTTATCTTGTGAAAGTATCTATATTTGTTTTTGTTGTATGTAGTATCTTCTATAAAGTTATTGAGTATATGTATTAAGTTCTTTGTTGAGTTGCCTGGAAGTGCAACATAGTTATGTGGGTTGAGTATGGTATATGTTGTAAAGACTTTAGTTAGCTGGTTTGTGAGGATTTTTGTATAAAGTTTTTTAATGTGTTCAATTAGGCTAATTGGTCTAGTATTATTAAGGTTGTTGTCAAATTGTGGTTTTTTAGAGATGAGATAAATTCTGCCATCTTTTCATTGTTTAGAAATGTTTTGTGTATTAATATATCTATTAAGGAGTATGATGATAGCCTGTAATATATTAGATCTAATATGTTTAAATATTTCATAACTGACTCCTAATAGTCTACACACTTTGTTGTTGGGTAACTGTTGAATTGTTAGTATAACTTCTTCTGTACTAATTTCTTTAAATACAGAGTCATACTATTCTGTTCTTATTTCTGGTTTAGGTTGATATTTATTTTTCTAGTCTTGATCAAAGATCTCATTATCATATGGATGATATGATGTCTATTCATCATAGAAGTTAACATCTATATCAGTTTTAATATTCTCAAAGTATATAGTATCCTTATGTCGATTAAGTATACTATTTATTATTTTTGTTGGATTAGTGAGTAATTGATCACATCTGTTATTAGTGGCTAGATTAATATATTGTCTTAGATGTTGCGCATTTTCAGGATTTCTTGTATTATATAGAGTTTTTCAGTATTTTTCCTATGAGACTAGATCAGATTAGTGGTGTGGTGGAGTATTAATTATAAAGTTATGTTTAGTGTTAAGATTATTAATTAGATCTAATATATTATTAGGTAGTGTAATATTATATATGAAGTATTTTTGGACTCAGTGTATTATATGTCCAATTGTTTTGAGATCTTTGTAGAGTTGTATTGCTTTAGGAGTGAATGTATGAAAAAGTTTTTTGTTGTGATTTTCTTGTTTGGAATATGTTGGTATGCAGCATTGATAATACAGATATAAATCTTATACCATGTCTTTTCAAGATTTTCTGTTGTATCAAGATTAGTTGAAACTTGATATATAGCCATATTTGTATTGACTTGATTAGAGAAGAACTTCTAGTTTTCATTAGATATTGATTTATAGTTGAATACTCTTCTTTTACATTTAGATTTTTAGTTGATTTTAGAAAGTGTGAATGGAAATGTTCAGATTAAAATTAGAATTTGATGATTACAATTTGTAGAGGAAGATGAATTGTCTATTTCAAATTGATTAAGGTATGGTATCAATATGTCACTAACCCATATATAATCAATTCTAGTTTGATATCTGGTACTTTGCCAGGTATGTTGTAGGTTGGTTGTGTGGTTAGCTATGTCATATATATTTGTGCTGTATAAGTAGTTAAGTAGTTAGAACTTAATAGCTGATGATATTGTTAAATTAGTGTTTGCGTTGAAGTCTCCAAGGATTATTAGATATAGATTTAGTGATATAGCTTGTTGTATCCATGCTATTGCCTTGTTTTGTGTTAGTTTGCAGTTTGTAATATTAGTTGAAGAGAGATAGACTGTAATGATTCTAAATTTGTGGTTATTTTTAAAGAATAGGTCTATTGCTATTGCACCTTCTGGGTAGTTAAAGATATTATGAATGTGGAGTTAGAATTTGTTTTGTATCATAATATATGTGCTTTCTTTGGTGTCTAGTAGGTTGGACCAGTAATAGATGTAGTGATTTGTGTTAAAGAATTTTGTTTTTATATTATTTGAGATTTTGTTTCACTAAGGCTGACTATATGTAGATTGTGGTTTAAACAGTAGTTTTCCTATAAAGTCATTTTTCTGACATATTATATCCTTGTACATTGTGAGTAGCAATATTTAAGTGTAAAGAAAAGTTGAAGTTTTGTAAGTTTTCTATATATATAGGTTGATTACTTTGGTGGTGATGGGTGTTGTTAAGGGTAGGTAAATATGTTAGTTCTATTTCATGGTCTAAGAATAGATAGTTTTCAATATTTAGTTCATTAAATTAATAGATTAAAGAGGCAGAATATGCAATAGTATATGATTTAAGTAGGGTGTATAAAAATTTTTTGATTGTCTTTATGATTAGTTGAGTATGATTTTGAAGTATAGTTGTTTCATTTGATAGATATATGTGTGCTTCATGATATGAATTATGTATAGAAAATGTTAGCTTAGGTTAAGATTTTTGAATATATTTTGTTGTAAGTGCTAAATGAATAATGCAATTGTGGTTTTATTTGTTATTGTTGATAATTTGTAATATTGTAAGAATTTGTTGTAACATGTTGACAAATTGCAGGGTTTTAAAGATGTTGGTTGCGAACTTGTCAGATTAGTATCTTTTATATAATCACTTGCTATATATCTGGTTCTCATAGTTTCCAAAGAACTTGTAGCCTGTTCTGTGCATTGAGTCTGACCATCATTTTCACAAGCCTTCAGGTATAGAGGCTTTACTCCTGCCTCCATATCTCATTCCCTTACTAACTACAATAGATTTATCTTTTAGTAAGGTGGCAGCTGCATTTATATTAATTGTAAAGATACTATGGATGTCTTAGTTTAATGTTTGTATTTGTAGTATTTGTGTTTGTGTTTGTGCTTAGTGTTTTTGTAACATATTAAACCCTTATATAGATTTATCATAAGTTTGCACTGACTATTTTACAATGTTCAGGGATACATTTATATATACCAGCTTGCATTCCTCTATATTCCTAATTATGACTCCTTATAGTACAGGTTTTTGGATATAAATACTATATTTGAGAATATTATATTCATGCTTATTTGTGAAGCTAACATATAGTTATACTCTATATAGCTAGGATATCCCTTATTAGATTTATCATGTGTTTGCACTAACTATTTTACAATATTCAGTAATACATTTATATATACTGGCTTGCATTCCACTATATTCCAAATCATAACTCTCTGCAGTATGAGTTTTTGGATATAGATACTAACTCAAAACTTTGCAAGTAATTTTTCTAACTGAGATTAGCTTTGTGGAATCTTTACACAATGGGTTGCTAATTCATTTTCCAAATCGAGTTGGTATAACTACAATTATAGTCAGAAACTGGCACCAATTAAGTTAGTATATTCTTCTTTTGGAAAGATATTCAAGATACAGTTTTTTAAATATTGTCAACAGTAGGAATTGAACTCTAGACCTTGATACTCGGGATGTGACAACTTGACCACTTCACTAAGTCACCACACCCTAGTTGCACCTCTATTTAAGCATTTTATTTTGTATAACAAACTTAAAATATAATGTAAAACCTTATTATAGTCACGAATCTCTTAAAATCACTATCATCTTAAAACTTAATTTTTAAATTAAATTTATTAATAAAAAAACCTTTTTATAACCACTAATATATTAATTAAAAGTTATTTGTATTAAGTTAACTATCTTTAAGACTCTAAGTAAAGTTGTAGAGTTTATTAAGATGCAACAGACTTAGTGATTATATAGAAATCTGACTGTAGCTTAAAAATATATTTTGAAGCTTAGCAAAAGTAAAGAAAAACAAAACAAGAATTAATATATTAAAAGATTTAATTTAGAAAAAGGTAGCTAAGAAAATTCTTATTGCATTAGAATACTAAAAAAAATTAAAAGTTATTTAGATACTACAGAAAACTTAGTGTAAATTACTTCTATAAGAATAATAAAACAAAAATAAGTATATATTAATAACTGAAAAAGAAAAAAGAATAAATAATAAAGTAAAAAAAAAGAATAAATAATAAAGTAAAAAAAAAGAATAAATAATAAAGTAAAAAAAAGAATAAATAATAAAGTAAAAATAGTAATGTAAAAACAAAGGAAAACTAAGGTTAAAAAACTGATTACTGGTATAAAAGAGGCAAAGTTAATTATAAAGAAGAGTAGCTAAAGTTAAGATCAAAACAAAAGAAAAGTAAAAAAGAAAGAAGTCAGAAAAAATAAAAAGAAAATAAAAAAAAAAGTAGTAAAACAATATAAAAAAAATTTTATTAAATATTAATAAATACATTGACAATTATATTAATTCAATTGAACAAACTAGAATCGATTATATATAGGCTAGTGATACACTAATACCATATCTACACAAATTCGAAATAGACAATTCAGCATCCTCCACAAACAGTGACCATCAAATCCTAATCTCAACCTAGTCATTCCCATTTGCACTTTCTAGAATCAACCAAAAATTCAAATGTAAAAGAAGAGTATTTAACTACAAGTCAATGTCTAAAAAAAACTAGGAATCCTTTATGGATCAAATCAATTTAAATATGGATATACACCAAGTTCTCACAAACACTAACACAACAGAATCTCTTGAAAAGACATGACATAAAATACAAACCTGTATTATTAATGCAGCATACCAACATATACATAACAAAAAAATCATAACAAAAAACTTTTTTCACTCAATCACCCCCAAAGCAACACAACTTCACAAAGATCTTAAAACAATTGGATATATAATACATCGTGTTCAAAAATACTTTACACATAATATTACATTACCAGACAATACATTAGATCTAATTAACAATCTCAACACCAAACACAACTTCACTATTAATACACCACCACAACTTCAATCAGACCTTGCCTCATATGTATGAGAAACTAAAGAATACTGGAAAACACTATATAATGCAAGGAATCTTGAGAATGCACAACACTTTAGACAGCATATCAAACTAGCCACAAACAAAAGATGCAATCAATTACTAACTAATCCAACAAAAATGATAAACAGTATACTAAATCGGCATAAAGACACTGTACACTTTGAAAATATCAAGACTGACACAGATATTATCAATAACCTAGATGATATTAAACAATATATACGTAATCATTATGATGAATGGACAGCACATCATCCATACAACACTACAATTTTTGACCAAGATTAGAAAACTGAGTATCAACCTAAACCAGAAATAAGAACAGAATAGTACAATTCTGTACTTAGAGAAATCAGTACAGAAGAAGTCATACAAACAATTCAACAGCTACCTAATAATAAAGCATGTAGCCTATTAGGGATCAGCTATGAAATGATTAATATATTAGACCCAATATGTTACAAGCCATTACTGCACTCCTTAACAGATGTATCAATACCCAAAATATTCCTAAACAATAGAAAGACAGTAGGATTTATTCAATTTCTAAAAAACCTCAATTCGATGAAAATCTTAACAACACCAGACCAATTAGTCTAATTGAACACATCAAAAAACTCTATACCAAAATCCTTACAAATTGATTAACTAAAACTTTTACAACATATGCTATACTTAATCCACATAATTATATTGCACTTCCAAGCAACTCAACAAACAATCCAATACACATACTTAACAATTTCATAAAAGACGCCACCTGTAATAAAAAACAAATATGGATACTCTCTCAGGACATGAGTAAAGCATATGACTCTATCAATCTATACCTTCTTATCAAAGCCCTACAAAGACTTAACATGCCTTCACAACTTACAAACATTATACAAAACCTTCTACACAACTGATGTAATCAAGTTATTACTAACTTTGGACTTACAATACCATACTTAGTAAAGGATGGTATTGATCAGAGAGAAACCATAACACCATTACTTTGGTATATCTACTATGATCCACTAATTAATTACATATATCACAAATACAAAGGATATACATCTTCAGTTCAATGGCTTACACAACTTAACTCTATAAAATATAAAAGCAAATCTATGTCAACATCCATTTTAGCCTACATGGATGATACATTATAGCTTAGCTTATCTATAAGCCAACTTCAACAAATAATTCACACAGCTGCATCCTTTTACACAATGGCCCATATTAAAGTAAATCTACAAAAATCTGTTCTCATCTCCAACACCAATCGAACACCTCAAATCAACTTCATGAACTCTACTATTACTATACAACCTATATACACTCCTTTTAAGTTTTTAGGTTGCTGGTTTATAGCTACTCTCAAATACAACAAACAAATTAAATTTATTAAACAAGAGGCATCAGGACTCAATAATATACTTAAAACTAAGAATATAACAGATCAACAAGCCACCTATATTATCAACAACGTAATTATTCCAATTATAGAATGCCATATTCACAATATAGTAATTCCTAAAACCATTTGCAACTCAATATTATCCTCATACCTTATCACAGCTAAACATAAATCAAACTACCTATCACAACACCCAACAGTATTATGCTTAACCACAATATTTATAGAATTAAAAACATCTGGGATATTCAATTACAACATCATATTTCTAACTTTCTACTTAGAATCAATGACCCAAACCTTACAGGTACTAGTACACACATAAGGCTCCAACAATTACAAAATAATTTATGGTCAACCACCAATATCCTTCTCAACATCCACAACTCTTAATTGATGGACCAAATAAAAACACTACCAAAATTAAAATTATTAACCAACTTCAACTTAATATAAATATTTATACTAATTTTACACAAATTCACACACTTCAGTATCCCTATACAACTATCAAAAAAATATTATACACACATAAATTATATTTATCCTTCAAAAAACAACTACGCACAAAAAACATTATATATCTTGAACAACTTACATCATACAATAACACATCTCTACTTGACTGGTCACACATCTCACCATAACTATAATACATTCCTACAGGTTGTAAACCACTATAGTTCACAACACTAGAAAATATAATTATTACTGATCAACAAACTAAACTAATTAATACTCAACTACAGCTATCAAATACAAACACTCTATCCTTCAATACTGGTCATTATAAGAATAAATCTAAACCTTGGTTAATCTCATACAATAACAATGACATAATCCTAGAAAAAGCCAGAAAATATAATCACCACAATGATTCAATATCAATCACACATTGGCAAATTGAATTTGACTACTCCCATACTAATCTTTATTTATCACCTACATATATCTGTAAACCATGTACAGGATGTTTACTAAACTCTAACTGAATTAAAAATACATGCACATTAAATGTTCCAGCCAACTTATCTAACAAACTCTTATACAGAAAAACAAATAACAACACTCCTAACAAACTCAACTTGCACGCTAACCTACTGGACTCAATATACTCAATCACATTACATAATCCAACTACAATACCAAGACCACCAACTGTTACAATCTATAATGATGCAGTATTTGAAACTTTAAAAACAACCAACCTTCACAAACTCTGCAACAAATAGCAAGAAATAATAAAGCATACATACAACTAACTTTCTACACAGATAGATCAGTTAGTGATATCACTACTGAGCGATGTACAATAGGCATAGGCTGGGTTCAAACAGCTAATAACATTGTATTACATAATTACTTTGCTACAATTCAACTCCGGCCATCCTCTTACAAAGCTGAACTATTTGCAATCCTTTCTTCAATTTGTACATGTCCATGAAACAGTAGTATTACCATCTACACTGACTCACAATCTATAATATCTAAGTACAACAAACTTACTCAACAACCACCTGGACCAAATAAACAATATTCATCTAACTACTGGCCAATTTGGCATACACTACTAAATTTTATTAAATCCTACAGGCTAAAAATTAAACTTCAAAAAATTACAGCATACAGCAATAATACATTCAATGATTTAGCAGATAGTCTAGCTAAAAACTGGAATCATATAATCAATTTTGTATTCTTACACAACAATATTTACAATCCATCTTACTACTTACAATATACAACTTATGCATTCGAGCAACTAACTCATAGATCTATTAAAAACATTTGTAATAGCCACATAATAGCATTATAGTCTTCTCAACACCGAATGAAAAACATTATACCCCTTGCAACACAAATTGATTGGAATGCCACTTGGCTTTATTTAAACAATAATCACAAAAAATCATCCTCCTATACCAACTTCAAACTCTGCCAGGAAAAAACCTTCAAAATCAAACTTATGTTTAATATACTATCCACATTATCAAACCTACATACTCTATATCCTCAACACTTCCCAGACATTAACTGCATTTCATGTAACTCTCATGAAGGTCAAATGCATTGGCTTACACGCCTAGGTGCACCCAATCTAAATACAATCATTACTAACACAATACAACAATTTTTGCAAGCCTCCAGACTTAACATATCATATACACAATGTCAAGAGCTACAGAACAAACTTATCTACCATCCAAGTTTATCACTTAACCACTACACCAGAACTAATGCAAATATATTCACAACTTTACAAGAGTTCATACCTATTATACTGATACAAACTATTAGAGAGTATACAGACTCTAATAAAACAGCAACAAATACTACTATTTTACTACTCCTGCAATTATCTCAGAATATATATAATCTAATTTGGAAACCATACTGTGCCAAGTTATCGAGTTGGAAACAACAACACAACATACCTACAAATATTAATAGTAACTGAACAAGACAAAATATCATATCTAGCTCCAACAACTCCAGACCAAGAATACCATACACCTACAGCTGTAGCTGTGGTTTACCTGACCAACAACATATAGATAACGACTGTCCACCACTTGGAAAAGCATCAAAAAAAGCCTCAACATGGCTAACTACCTGGATAAAATTTAGTACATCTACTAATAAAATTATACATTATAGAATCTAGGTGAGTTTTTAACCACTCTAGTAGGTTTAGATTACAGATAAATTAGATAGTTAAATATCTATAGTCTGAGTCTCATTCTTGTAAAAAATTTGTAATTATTGGTCTTATAGA